CCACTAGCAACCAATTGGTGTTCTGGATTGAAGTGAATCATTTTGCGTGAAATGACAAATGAAATGGAAATTCTCATCGACCACGAAAACAAAGGAGACACAAAAATTGTGGCTAAAAAATATGCAGAATGTCATAAGCATCATAACATCGCAAAAATACCCATCATTACATCAACGGGTTGCAGCAAAAGGAAACTCGAAAGAATTACTCGTATGCAAGAAGACGAACTCGCCAATGACTGTTGTTGTAGTTGCAAAGGTGAGCAAATGTTGTTGCTGCTCCTTGAGAATAAGAACGCTGATAATGGGAACTGAGTCTATCGCATCTTTTACAAAATATCGACAATTTTTCATACTTTGTTCCAATAATGATCTCAACAACTGTTCTTTAAATTCATCTACGAATCATCTAAGTGTTTCACTCAACAAAAAAAAACTCAATCTGCTTATGAGATTAAGAACTAGCACAACAACATCTCACAAAACAATCGATAAGATTCATGCATATCGGTGAGAATGAAATTCACAACCAAAATTCCTTAAATTCTCGATATTACCACCTGATCGTGAGGACAGAAATTCTCGTAAAACTCATTTGGTCACCTTATTTTAGTGCATAACTTGACTCGTATTTGTTCACAGATCTCAACCGTTCGTGCACAAACATCTTCGCGTAAAATTTCAATCCCGCGATTATGATAAACTCACCACTTTATTGCAGCAGTTCCAACGCTGTCACTTTCCATAATATCGCTGCAGTACCTATGGAACTGATTCAAAATTTGTGAAATGCTTTTATTACGTTCTCATTCAAGGATACAAGTCCAGCTCTACAAGGCAGTTTGCCACCAGTAAGTAAGAGAAGATATGAATATGATGGAAGGTTTATTTTGTCTCATGATCACCTTGAGCCTATTCTTATATTCTAACGAGTACATTTATGCTCTGAAACTTACGCCTCACCTGCTTCAAAGGATTTATCCATCCACCTTTTTTTGCTTCCTATACCTTTTGTTTCCTACTCCTTTGCTTCCTACAC